TTATTATTATTATTATTATTATTATTATTATTATTGTTAAGGCACGGAGTCAATCAGACAGTGCGCCTGTTGAAAGGAAAATATCCTCTATCTATTAAGCAAATGGTCACTGATTTCAAGAAAGCTTTCATTCAAGCCAAACAAACAACAGATGGGCCTGTTACCGAAATTAGCTTCAGAAAGCGTGGGCGACTTGCATTACTGCCTAAAGACCTTATAAAAAGACCATGCAAACGATACAAGCCCTGTGACTAAAAGGTGCCCCGGTAACAGCTGCTGTGATTAATACTTTTGCCAAAGAAATAGTTATGGCCAATGACCGTACCATATTGGTTGAGCACGGGGGCTTCCTGATGAGCCGACGGCTATCCTAGTATTTGACGTGTTCAAAGGACAGAAGACAGAGCGTGTTCAAGGCCTTATTTCTGATGACAACTGCGTTAGCGTTTTCGTTCCAGCCAATATGACCAACTATTTCCAGACGCTCGACTTGACGGTAAAGGGTCCTGCCAAGCAGTTTCTGAAAGGAAAGTTTCAGGAGTGATATGCAACGTAAATCGCAAAGCAGGTCGATAAAGGTGTTCATGTACACTCCATTGATGTCAGCACTAAGTTACCTGTAATGAAGCCGATTCACGCCTGCTGGCTTGTTGGTTTGTACGACTACCTCCGAAACAAACCAGATGTGGTAAGGAAGGGTTTTGAGATGGCAGGAATAGTGGAGGCTGTCACTAAAGTACTGGAACCAGAAGATCCTTTCAAAGATCTTGTCTCAGATCATTAAGCCACATTAAGCTTCAAAGCTCTTAGTTCCATTTCTGGAACGAACTCTATAGTTGAGACACTGCTTGAGGCATACATTGATTGACTTTGTGCTATTTTCTCGTTGGTGTATCCGTCTGTAAAACCTTGAAGGTACAGTAAAACTATCATTTTCACAGATTCTATTTCACAGATTCTATTTCAGTCTTTCATGTTTTTTAGTCGTAAATTTACTTTGGACACGTTTCAGCACAGTGTCCGAATTTTTTGTCCGAAAATTGTCCGAAATAAGGGAAAAAGTGTCCAAAAATTAAACGTCCGAAGTAAGACGTCCGAAATTAAAAACGAAAAAAGTTGGCAAGTAAAGAACTTTTCAACTTCTAGTGGATCATGGGAAGGTCAAAGTTTACTGTCACATGACAGATGACCTTGAGGGCTGCGGGGGCGGTGGATGGACGATGGTGATGAAAATGGACGGCAAAAAGGTATCTTGTCTCTCGTCACTATTACCCGTGAGTCAAATGTTCCGGTTACTTAAAAGAGAAAATTTGATATATGACTTCTTGATGAAAGGGGATATCATCTTTATGTGCTACCTGTGGGGAAACTATAGTAGTATAGGGGGCCTGACTTGACAGAAAACCCGTCAAACGGTTTTTCTGAGGAATAGAACTGGTCAAACTGGTTTTTGGCAGACTGGGATCCATGAAAACTCCAAGGGGTCTGTTTGGGACACGACTTAGGGGGGTGGGGGTAGGAAAAATTTTGTTACACCCGTGGAGGGGTAGGGTACAAAGAAATAAATCCCTTAGGTGAGTAGAGAGGTAACCCTAGGGTATGGGAGTGCTTGGATGACTATTATGTCTATTGTACTTCTTCTCTGTTCTGCAAAAAACCGGTTTGACGAGTTTTCTGTCAAGTCAGGCCCCCTATACTACTATCTCTTAATGTATTCATCATACGCACAAAGTGCATTATTCAAAATTTCCATGGCTTTTACCACCTCCATAACTGAACCTTCTACATTATGTCGCCATCATCATCGTCAGACTTGAGATTAAAGAGGATGAAGACGCTCGTAAAATCGTAAAAGAAACTCATTCGAGCTCTAAGTGGAAAGACCTAGAGAACGATCGAAATATCTTTGAGGTTGTTTAAAACTTCAATGTGATAAAAACTTGTTTAGCTACGGGTTGGTTCACAATATTCCCAGTATCCATTCCTTTAAAACTATTATGTCTATTGTACTTCTTCTCTCTTCTTTCCTTGGATAATAGTGGCAAGAATCCGTTTCCACTTTTTTTTTAATGCATCGAGACTTTCTTTGATTTCACTTCTAATACCATCTTGGACGACAGCAAATTTATGACTAAAACATTTACCATGCAGAAGCAACTAATACATGGCTGACACTGCTTTTTTTAATCTTCCATGCAAAGGGTGCCGTGAACAAGGCGGATCCCCAAACATTGGCTGCGTGAACTAAGTGTGGACTTGCAAAGTCATAATCGATCTCAAACGATTTTTATTCCAACCCGGCTATATCTTTAACCTTTATATTTAACAACCTGAAAGAACGATCCAAAATAAGCAGCAGAAAAAAAGATGTAAGAGACTCAATGCCGAGGGCTTCAAATTCTCGTAAACTAAACAAATCCCGTTCCCCATTCTCAGTGTAGAATATTTTGAACCATTCTGACTACTCGTTTTAGTTGTTATCTGCATATGAATCCAATTATCATTCAACTCATTTCAACTTTTCCATCTGAATAGTCAACCTTCCACTTTGATTCACAACTCTGGAGTAACATGAGTGACTTCAATCCTCAAGGAGGGGAGACTGGGCTTGACTTTCAAGAGACCAAGCTACCCACCTACTGGAACACATCCTTCTCCGAGATCTGTCTAGGGATGAAGATTGGTAATCTGTCCAAGTTCATTCTCGTCAAAATGCAAGCCAGCTCTTTGTACTCGCTGATCGCTGACGGACAACATCGTAAGACGTCACTGGGTCGCAACACGTGGAAGTTGCTGATTGGCTCCGAGGCATCCTTGCAATTAAAGTGTAACAAGGAAGGGTTCAATCCCACTTCGATAGAGAAAAAAAATTCCAAAGCTAGAATCGGTATCATTGCCAACGATCAAGGAAATTGCAAAACTTGTGATTCCAGAATTGGTTTTGGCACAGGTGGGTATGGAGACGAATCCAACACGTGTGGGAACGAAGCAAAGCACAATTCAGATAACGGAGACAAACACATCAAAGCCATGGGGTACATCTTGGTTCAGTGACAAAGAAATCGATCTAATCTTGTAGAAATGACCATGAGGCCAGCCCTAAAGGACTTGTATATAAGTAGAAGTAGCAAAAGAGGTCTGAAGAAGAAATTAGACACCGAGTCTGAACTTATCTGGTTTCGTCTTGATAAGATTTCCATCCACCCTCCCCCCCCCCCAGTACAATTTGCGACAGATAAAAGCGCTTTGTTGTTAGTCCTGCGAGGGGGAGGATAAGAGGATAAGAGGGGGGATGGGAGAACAAAAGCCCTTCAGGTAATTGAATGGATAGTGGCCTTTACCTACTGTATCAACTACGATATATCAGACCAATGGAAT